CGTATCATGTCTCACGTATCATGTCTCACGTATCATGTCTCACGTATCATGTCTCACGTATCATGTCTCACGTATCATGTCTCACGTATCATGTCTCACGTATCATGTCTCACGTATCATGTCTCACGTATCATGTCTCACGTATCATGTCTCACGTATCATGTCTCACGTATCATGTCTCACGTATCATGTCTCACGTATCATGTCTCACGTATCATGTCTCACGTATCATGTCTCACGTATCATGTCTCACGTATCATGTCTCACGTATCATGTCTCACGTATCATGTCTCACGTATCATGTCTCACGTATCATGTCTCACGTATCATGTCTCACGTATCATGTCTCACGTATCATGTCTCACGTATCATGTCTCACGTATCATGTCTCACGTATCATGTCTCACGTATCATGTCTCACGTATCATGTCTCACGTATCATGTCTCACGTATCATGTCTCACGTATCATGTCTCACGTATCATGTCTCACGTATCATGTCTCACGTATCATGTCTCACGTATCATGTCTCACGTATCATGTCTCACGTATCATGTCTCACGTATCATGTCTCACGTATCATGTCTCACGTATCATGTCTCACGTATCATGTCTCACGTATCATGTCTCACGTATCATGTCTCACGTATCATGTCTCACGTATCATGTCTCACGTATCATGTCTCACGTATCATGTCTCACGTATCATGTCTCACGTATCATGTCTCACGTATCATGTCTCACGTATCATGTCTCACGTATCATGTCTCACGTATCATGTCTCACGTATCATGTCTCACGTATCATGTCTCACGTATCATGTCTCACGTATCATGTCTCACGTATCATGTCTCACGTATCATGTCTCACGTATCATGTCTCACGTATCATGTCTCACGTATCATGTCTCACGTATCATGTCTCACGTATCATGTCTCACGTATCATGTCTCACGTATCATGTCTCACGTATCATGTCTCACGTATCATGTCTCACGTATCATGTCTCACGTATCATGTCTCACGTATCATGTCTCACGTATCATGTCTCACGTATCATGTCTCACGTATCATGTCTCACGTATCATGTCTCACGTATCATGTCTCACGTATCATGTCTCACGTATCATGTCTCACGTATCATGTCTCACGTATCATGTCTCACGTATCATGTCTCACGTATCATGTCTCACGTATCATGTCTCACGTATCATGTCTCACGTATCATGTCTCACGTATCATGTCTCACGTATCATGTCTCACGTATCATGTCTCACGTATCATGTCTCACGTATCATGTCTCACGTATCATGTCTCACGTATCATGTCTCACGTATCATGTCTCACGTATCATGTCTCACGTATCATGTCTCACGTATCATGTCTCACGTATCATGTCTCACGTATCATGTCTCACGTATCATGTCTCACGTATCATGTCTCACGTATCATGTCTCACGTATCATGTCTCACGTATCATGTCTCACGTATCATGTCTCACGTATCATGTCTCACGTATCATGTCTCACGTATCATGTCTCACGTATCATGTCTCACGTATCATGTCTCACGTATCATGTCTCACGTATCATGTCTCACGTATCATGTCTCACGTATCATGTCTCACGTATCATGTCTCACGTATCATGTCTCACGTATCATGTCTCACGTATCATGTCTCACGTATCATGTCTCACGTATCATGTCTCACGTATCATGTCTCACGTATCATGTCTCACGTATCATGTCTCACGTATCATGTCTCACGTATCATGTCTCACGTATCATGTCTCACGTATCATGTCTCACGTATCATGTCTCACGTATCATGTCTCACGTATCATGTCTCACGTATCATGTCATGTCCTAAACGCACAACCAGACGAACACACATCAAACAGACCTTAAAGTCCTTTAGCCGAGTTCTCTTGCAGGAGATCTGCCGATGATGGGTCCACTTGATGATGGGTCCACTCGATGATGGGTCCACTTGATGATGGGTCCACTTGATGATGGGTCCACTTGCTGGGTCCACTTGATGATGGGCCCACTCGATGATCGGTCGACTTGATGATGGGTCCACTTGCTGGGTCCACTCGATGATGGGTCCACTCGATGATGGCGTGTAAAGTAGCTGTCGACAGCATCACATAAATGTTCTACCCAACTTCCGGTGAAAGTTCCGGTATCCAAATCACCCTGTGTTGAAATAAGTAATAACATAATGAAGAATTTTGTAATGTTTGTCATCTTATCAACGATTTAATAAACTTGCTGTTTTGTTATACGGTAATTTATTTTTATCTTACAGTTTATTACTTTATTTCCATCATTCAGAACAAAGAGGAGAATACTTTGTATTGACTTCAGTGTTTTATTATTTACAGCAGACAACTCTGACTATACGTTAACAGACTGAACATTCAAGGGAAGTAACTATGATATGTATAATACAAGGGACGTAACAATAACTAACAAGATATAATTTAAATCTTACTAAAATAATTTTATATTCTATATATATTGTATTATGTCTTTTGTGTCTATGTTCGAATCGTTTAGGAAATGGTCTTGTATAACATAATTTTGAAAAAAAAAAGTTTTTCTTTAAAAAGAGGGGGTGGGCGGGGGAAGAGACAACTTTCCTGACGAAAAGTATTAAATCCCATAATATAACTAAATTATCCTAATGATATGAAAGCCAGTGTGCACAACTCTCTCTCTCTGTCTCTCTCTCTCTCTCTCTCTTTTTCTCTGTCCGCAAAATATTTTCCGAGGCAATGAGATCAGTATCTTCAGCGATATATGGATGTATGGAGACCTAAATGAAACGGGCTTTTGTTGCAAACTATATGTTGGATTATTAAATGTATAACCTTAATTGTATTTAAAGAAGGAAGGTGAAAAAGGAATTATCGAATGTAGAAACTTTTTAAATCATGCAACTGGAAAAGTGTTTATGGTTGTGACAAGAACTCTTTAGAGAACAAACAAATTTAAAAACAATGGCGTCATCGCTTTCAGGATAAAAATAGAATGTCGAAAATGATACACAATACTAATGAAGTCATCTTCAATAATATTTGCTTTCCACATTTTCCAATTATAGAATATGAAGAAAGGGACTATTTCGCTCAAATTAGATTTAAATATATAGATTCTAGATCGGCTCATCAAGACTTATGCTATAAATGTAGACCTTTATAATTTTCTCGGGCAAAAAAATACTTTAAAAAACAACACGAATAACATCCGGGCTTTTAACGGAATCATTTTTTAAGTCTGTTAATCAGTTTGTGCATTTAATATGGTTTAGCGTTGACTAATAATGTATATAATTTGGTTTTTCTAATAGGTATTGGTAGCCTATGTTATTTTAAAGGTGTCGGATTTTTAGCTATTTAGTTATTTCTTTATTCTGTCACTTATATCGTTCAACGTGTAGTACAGAACATTGAGTGTTGGCCAATAACTATTTTATAAATTATTTTTCTCAAACAAGAATAACAAAAATGAGGGATATAATGACGGGTACCGATGGCTAGTAGTTTACCATAGGTATTCGAGGTTATGCAAAGTAAATATCTCATGCTACTAACTACTTTATATACTTTGTTTATTTCGTTTATACCTATATGAGTAAGTAAAAAGTTAAAAATGTTAGCCCTTATCAATTTTAAATATTCTGTACAATGATAGTATACAAAACTTACCTCAACCCTCGTCATCTATGTGATGCTGTTATGTAAACCAGCGTTGTTTCATGGCAGTAATAAAGATAAGTTATCCAGACACATGAAATTTGAGCACCTCGTCGTTAATGTGATGCTCTTATGTAGGTGATGCTCTTATGTAGGTCGGTGCTATTTCAATGCCATGAGAAAGATAAATTATCCAAACACATGAAACATTGTATCGAAATTCCTAAATTCAAGATGGAGGTCTCAGTCCAAAGGATCAGCGCCTGTTCCCAAAGACACATGACTAGATTCTGCACTAACAGAGGCCTACACTGCGCATGTCATCTCACAATATCCTGTCACACCATGAACTTTTACTATCCTAGGCACTTGTCAAAACAAACACGGGTACTGGATGACATTCTATTTGCCACTGTGCTACACACATCCATTGGCGGATCTAGAAAAAAGCCCACCCGCAGAATTTTTTTGGGGCCCCTATATATATATATATATATATATATATATATATATATATATATATATATATATATATATATATATATATATATATATATATAAGCAGCTCCCTGACATATTTGATTGAAAAGCTTATGTCGTTACATTAATGTACTAAGTTTAAGTCTAGGACAAATGTTTCAATAGGTTAGACACAGAGATCAATATTGGTGACAGGTTTTAAAATATACCCGCGTAAAGCCGTATACAGCATAGTTCGATTATTTTAACCGAATTTTTAGACAAAACTAAACGCTTTGTACTAATGAAAATCGTAACGTAAAAAAAAGCGTAGTAGAGCAAAATACTATACGACGTGTAGGACGCTAACTTCCTTGGTTAGAAAGTGCAAACAAAGTCGTATCGTGATATAGAGAACGACGCCACGGCCGAGAGATCAATGTCGAGCAAAATTCACGTTTGACAGGTGCTTTTGTTGCTTCGGGAAGGGGAGCGAACTCAGGTGAACTCCGTCTACATTCAAGGGACAAGACTCGTGTACCGGCAGTGAACTGGTGTACCTTCTACATCAAGGGGCATAACTCCTACAGGCAGGGAACTGTTGTGCCTTCTAAAGCAAGGGACAAAACTCTTGTATATTATACAGCAAGGGGCATAACCGGAGGATAGGGAGCGAACTCTGGTGCAGCGTATACAACAGGGGACATGACTCGTGTAAAGAAAGGTGATCGATCACAAGAGAAATCACCCGATTCACTGGGTTGAAATGCACAGGGGGCAGACAATAGGAAACGGCGCAGTAGGGCTGCGGGGGTTTGTGGGTAGTGGTAGGGCACTTGGACTGGTGGTGGTATCGCCGCTGTTGGTGGTGGTAGTGTCGGTGGTCTAGCGGCTTAATCTGGTGTCAAATTACAAGTACATCGCCTTATGTTTACCTACACTTCTTTTAATAAAGTGGTATTGTTTTAACTTTTTGCGCAGGTAAGACATTATTTGTCTGGTCTAGTCTGGGTGGAAATCGGAGTACTTAGTCTTTTGTTTACCTAATCTAGAGTGGATTTAGACGTACTGTAAGTATATTTTGTTTGTCTAAACAGCTTATGAATAAGAAGTAGGCCCATTGTTTTAACTGCACAGGTAAGATCATCTGACAATACTGGGGTTCATTTAAAAATGTGGGGTTTTTGTATTGATTTTTTTATGTAAATTTAGAAGTATCTTATTTGTGCGTTTATCTTATGTGTACTTTAAATTATCGTGTTTTTGTTTGATTATCTTATTACGTAGATTTAGAAGTATCTTATTTTAGTTTGATTATCGCGTGTTGGTTTAAAAGTATGTTTTTTTTTGTTTGATTAATCTTTTGTGTAATTAAAGTATCGTTTTTTTTTTGTTGCTAAATATAGTGTGGATTTAATAATATTGTGTTTTTTGTTTCTCTTAATAATTTTGGAAATTCTGAAAAAAAGTTTTTAACTTTTTGCTTAAACAAGAATGTGACTACTATATTTTGACCCGAGCAAGCATATTGCTAAATTCACGTGTATTAGCATAATCTATTTCTATGCTATTAAAATGCTAAGTGATTTTATATAGGACGCTAAGCATAAATAGAGATTAATCGATAAACAGATTTTATCGAAACATTTCTATTTGTATTTAGTTAGCACAACCAAACTTCATACCTATGGCCGGGAGAAATCTTGAATAACCAAAGATCAAATGAATATTTTGTCTGGGCAATCAATCTCTAAATCAATCAGATTGGGGAAACCTTGTATTTGAAGTTGAATATATTGTTGATACTATCAAAACCGAGCAGCATTCTAGTTTGATATTCCTATAACCAACGTGTGTACTAGTTTGTATGGGGGAGGGGGGAGCTAATACTGGTATATATTATACAATTATTATTTTCTATAAAATCGTTATAAATGTTTTATAGTCTAGGTGTGTAAAGCAAATTCATTTTTTTATTAGTATAATATGTGTGTGATTTCTTGTTGTGTATGAAGTATTGTGTATAGGTAAAAAAAAACCTTGTTTCTCTAACGTGTATGTCGCGTGTTCGTTTTCACCTGGACGTGACGTTAGTCACGTGATGGGGTCTGTCAGTCACGTGGTGGGGGTCTGTCAGTCACGTGGTGGGGGTCTGTCAGTCACGTGGTGGGGGTCTGTCAGTCACGTGGTGGGGGTCTGTCAGTCACGTGGTGGGGGTCTGTCAGTCACGTGGTAGGGTTCTGTCAGTCACGTGACGGAGCTCTGGAGGAACTAAAGTTAGAATTTTGTCTACTTTCACTTTCTTGTTTCGTCATATCAACTCTAATGTTATTCTCTGCTGACCTAGCGTGTTTTTTTTAACTCCCCAACCAAGAGAACTTTTTAAAATAATCTCTATGGGATCACATACGTATGTATCAAACACCTCAGCTGAATCAACTACCTTGCAGCATACATTTACCAGTTTAGGTAACGTATGTGATTTTGGAGAAAGTAAATATGTGTACAACTACCAGCATCTGTTGCTAAGTTCATTTGTAAAGTCCTTTTTCAGTGACTGACCTAGAATACTTAAACACAGCATAGTCAGCGTACACAAAGCAATTAAATAAAATAAAAATTTTAAAAGTCGAACAAGGCGCAGCTGGTGTTTATGGTAGGTGATTACTGGTCACGATCACGTGGTTTGGTGTAAGCGACCTGTGTTGATGTTTTTCTACAACAACCAGTTTTTGCGACTGTATTGGTGAATACCTGCCTATTGCGTCTGTAACTATTTCTTTCTGAAAAACCTGTCCTTTACACCTGTAACTATTTCTTTCTGAAATACCTTTCTTTTACACCTGTAACTATTTCTTGGTGAAAACCTGTCCTTTACACCTGTAACTATTTCTTTCTGTAAAACCTTTCTTTTACACCTGTAACTATTTCTTTCTGAAAAACCTGTCCTTTACATCTGTAACTATTTCTTTCTGTAAACCTGTCCTTTACATCTGTAACTATTTCTTTCTGTAAACCTGTCCTTTACACCTGTAAATATTTCTTTCTGTAAAACCTTTCTTTTACACCTGTAACTATTTCTTTCTGTAAAACCTTTCTTTTACACCTGTAGCTTTTTTTGTGAAAACCTGTCCTTTACACCTGTAACTATTTCTTTCTGAAAAACCTGTCCTTTACACTGGTAGACCTAACTATTTCTTGGTGAAAAACCTGTCCTTTACACCTGTAACTATTATTTGGTAAAGCACCTGTCCTTTACACACGTACTTATAACACAACATATTGTTGAAACACCTCTCCTTCGCACCAATCTGTTTACCTAACTACATCATTACTTACTTGAAATGACCTGTCCCTTTTATTCCAATACTATAGCGCCAACCTGATTGCTCTAAAACTTAACGAGGTATACTGGCTTGGTGTTAAACTATTCTACACAACACAGCAGAGGCAATAAATAACGTGTAGGAATAGGACTATTCCTGCAAACAGTTCTTCTCTTGGTTTGAGGCTACATTTAAATCTACGTCTAATAAATAAATTAATGATTGATAAATGGGGGAGGGGGGGGAGTCTGCGGTCCACACCAGATAACACCATTACTTAATTATTGGGGGGGGGGGGGAGGGCGACACAAAGTTATAAAATGTACTATCAAAGCTATTTTTTATCAAGTTAAAATAATGAGATAGTTGAGACATGAAACCAAAATACAAAACTGTTGGAAGGAGTGGTGTGACACACTCCATTACCACACCATTGACACGTGACCGTGAGACAACATGGGCGGCATCATTGTTAGTTCATGGAAGCGGCGTGGTCAAATGGTAGAGCTCAAAACTTGTGGACTGAACGCCTCGAGTTCGGATTCCATGCTCTAGTCTGTAGGGTATCTCCGAATCCACCCAAATATTATATCTATAGTGTCCATTAAATGTCAAGGTCATTGAATTCTTGTTCATCTTTTGGACATGAACGGGTTGAAAAATGAAGATGACAATTATTTAAACACATCTGTACACAAACCACTAGAGCGTAGCTGTGCGACTGTCGGTGTGTTCTGGTGTCTGTCTCACACTCTGACCACTTCCGTCATGTTCTCCTCAGGTCGCAGGCTGGAGGCAGATGGCCAACGTGGCAAACACACCTGAACCTGTACGATGCCTGTCCAGGGGCGTCACCCACATTACGCTACCTGGGCCCCTCCCTGATCAACGAGCTGTCAATCAAAGACCGTGGACGTCACACAGGGCGTTCCCGTCTTCCCGCTTTATGAGGACGGCGTCGAGAAGGTAGGTGGAGCTTAATGTTAATTTTAGAATGGTGGGTGGAGCTTAATGTTAATTTTAGAATGGTGGGTGGAGTTTAATTCTAATTTTAGAATGGTGAGTGGAACTTAACGCTAATTTAAGAATAGTATGTTGAGCTTAGCGCTAATTTAAGGTTGTTTGGTGGAACTTCTCTAATTTAATATGGTGGGTGGGGCTTAAAATGCTAATTTTAGAATGGTGGGTGTAGCTTCCCAAATTTAAAGATGTTGGGGGTAAAGTCGTGGTTGGGTAGGACGCCAAATGGTTGGTTAGAAGAAATTCCCGAGTTCGAAACCCCAGGCGGATAAGGCTCATTAACTGGGGACAGCAACCTCAGGAGAGGAAACTACGATATAAAACAATTGTGAAATCCATTGGGCGGTGGCATTAATAATTAATATTAGAGATCTATGAATGAATTTTAGGTGTTACTTGGTCAAAAACAATATAATTAAATTTTTAAAAGAACGTCCAATATGAGAGACCAATAACTCAAAAATCACCAACACACACAGAAACACCAACCCTTACAGAAACACCAACCCTCACAGAAACACCAACCCTTACAGAAACACCAACCCTCACAGAAACACCAACCCTTACAGAAACACCAACCCTCACAGAAACACCAACCCTCACAAAAACACCAACCCTCACAGAAATACCAACCCTCACAGAAATACCAACCCTCACAAAAACACCAACCCTCACAGAAATACCAACCCACACAGAAACACCAACCCTCACAGAAACACCAACCCTAACAGAAACACAAACCCTCACAGAAATACCAACCTTCACAGAAACACTAACCCTCACAGAAACACCAACCTTTACAGAAACACAAACCCTCTCAAAAACACCAACCCTCACAAAATACCAATCCACATTAAAACATTAACCAACACAAACACCGACCCTCACAGAAACACCAACCCTCACAAAATCCACATTAAAACATCAACCCACACAAAAACACCAAGTCACTCAGAAACACCAACCCACACAGAAACACGCAATCACAGCTATACATACTTTGCATGTAAGGGTTGCGTCGTTTAACTGTGTGTTGCGCCACTGAAGTCTTGTAGTCTATAGCAATACCGTTGGTACCACTCAAACAACGCACCAGGTATGCAAATGTAATTAAAGGTAACGTCAACACACTGCCAGTCTAGGCGACATGCAGCAATCCATCACCTACGGCAGGTAAAACAGACACCTCACGCAACGTAACACTTAACACCTAATCGCACCTGTATTTTAGTCATTAGCGGCTAATTGTATCTATATTTTTGTGATTAGCGGCTAAATTCGTTATTTTTGTGATTAGCGGCTAATTGTACTGGTATTTTTGGAATTTTCGGCTAACTTACCTGTATTTTTGTAATTAACGGCTAACTTACCTGTAGTTTTTGTAAATAGCGGCTTATTGTACCTGTATTTTTCTAGTTAGTGGTGTTTTGTACCTCTATTTTTATAGTTTAAAACAGTACACCATATGAAGTATAAATCTCGCAGCGACAAACTCTTGTTGTGGTGTCACACAAGAACAAGAAAATAAAACGTCCGAGAGCAGTAGCAGTAGAGTTTATCATTGAGATATTTGTCTTAGACCAGTTTACTCTTAATTGTTCTGAAAGCGAAACGTCTAACACAAAAGAGTAATACGACCATTATTTGATCCCAGAAGAAATCGTAATTGTTAAAATGCGACGTTATATTTTACTTTTTTTTCTTTGATTATAAAATCCATACAAACCGCTTCATAATCCAAGCAACACAAACTTTTTTTTATACGTCTATCAAAAAGCAGTTTCCCCAAATCGCATTCGTATTGTGTAAGTGCTAACGTCCCTAAACGTTCTATGTACTAGATACTACAGCGTACACCTGGAATTTATGCATGTCAAATTTTTTAACGAGTAGATTATTGCCACGAGAGAAAGTGTATTTTAGATAAGACTAGTAATGTACACATACATATCTATGAAACAAGAAAGTCTTCTCTAGCTTTGTTAAAGATCGATATGATATTAATGTGCACTGATTTTAAATCGATAATTTTTTGTCATAAAATATAACAGCTAGCTTATTTTAACTGTGAAATAATTGGGTACATAACTCATTTTGAAGTCTTCTACAACGTTTTCATGTTTGTCTCCCCTGACAGCAGACTAATAATAGAACAACCTGAGGTATCTGATAATTTGAGGCTATGAAGAATATACTATAGGGGGAGGGGCGCTCGGGTGGAGATTAGAAAATATGATAACACATCTAGGAGCTACATAACTCCTCGTTTTTAGCTAGAAGACATATTAGAGTTTAATTTTTTTTAAACATTGCTTTTGTTTGTGTTAAGACCGTAGGCATGATATGTATCAGATACGGTCTAATAGCGTTAAGACCGTAGGAATTATATGTATCAGCTACGGTCTAATATATTAAACATGAACATTTATCTAACCTTCACACTATTAATTTTGTCGATATAGAATGTAACTACATGGTAGGAAATCGTTGAATGTCGCTTGGTGTCAGATTGTGTGTGTTTATATGAGTTACTGGGTTGATCGCAACATTACGAATGATTGGTGTGGTGACTAAGATAACAAACACAAACCTATTCTTTACTGTCTGATTGTTTAGCAAACATCTAGAATGTTTACTAATTCCTGAGCCGTATGTAAGTAGACCTTACATCTTGTAAAGACGTATAATTATGAGAGCTTTTCCGCTAGAATAGAACAAGATAGTTAGACTTCTTAATTGGGTGAAAACAGTAGCATTTAATTATTTTAAGTAAATAAGATTTAATACAATAAGGTAGGTGATATGGGGTAACCTATTGCCGTACTTGGTAGACGAAAGTATAGTGTCCAGCCGCCTTTCCCTAACGTGATTCAGGTACCCACCAGAGCTGGGTGGACTCATGGACATCCTACCGACACGAGCCCAATATATCAAAACTTACAGCTAACCCGTAAGTCTCGAGTTCGAATCCGGGTTCAAGTCAGTAGACAGTCCATGATTCCACCCAACTCTGATGAGGACCTAACTCACGTTAGGGAAAAATGAAGGCGGCTGGGCGTAGTGCTGACCACTCCTCATATGCCGGGGTCACAGAAACAAGTAAACTCTACTTCACTTGCCCTATAGACCGACAGGTTTGAAAAGGGAACTTTACTTTACTTTTTTATCGTTAAAATGTATTTATTTGCATGGCATCTTTTTTCTTTGTAACTTAAAAAAAAAGGTGTCACATACAGTGTCTAAAAGTTTAAAATGCTTGTTGGAGAGCCGTCTATAAATAGAACAGATTGGCAAGAAAGTCAACTACCAATTGAGCTCCTGTCAATGATCCGAATGGGTCGCAAATGTTAGCTTAAGGATTACACCCGACCCGGTCCCATTGATAATCCGTGCTGGCGTCTCATTGATACCGATCGGCCGGTATCGATAACGTTTAACGGTGATTGATACTATAGATTTGGTCCGTGTGAGGAACGCACCTCTTCAGTGCAGGTTTATTACTGCTTGAGTTGTCGACCGTGGCTTATTTGCAACAAAACAGTACAACTTTTTCAATGTGGAAATTCTAAAAGTTGTGTGTTTCTTTAATGAAGAGTGGGATTAAATCACACGGCTGTTTTTTAATTAAATGAATCACATATTGTATGTTAATTCTAAGAACATTTTGTTCAGGCGATAAATATTGAGTAGATCAAAGGGAATTTTCGATTTTAATTAATTTATAAATGATTAAAAACATGTTATAAATGAAACTTGAATTATATTGATCGTACTTCATAATCTTTCAATACATGAAAATCACAAAGATTTATTTCGATCAATAAGATTTCATTATTTCTTTACTAACTGCATTTGTCGTCAATTGCATCAAAATAATTGTTTCTTTTGTGTGGAAATCTATGTAAACATCACACTAAATAAAATGTAAATGTAAAATGTAAATTTAAAAATCAACCAAGAAAAAAAAATGAAATATCACCACCCAGATATAGCCAGTTTTCCAAACTCTTTTATCCTTTGCGGATCAAGGTAAGGAAATGTCTTTCCACAACATTTTAAAGAAATTCGTCCCTAATTCTTTTACAAATTATTTTTATAACTTGTTAGGACAATATTACATTTGTGATTTTATTTTAGTATGATTAACAAGAGTTTTACAGTAATTAAAATGTGAGAAAAAATCAGTATAACGGTAATTTAAGTTAAAAACAATCATTTTTATAATAATCTAAGTGCGGATGGCATACATTTGACATAATTTAAGTGTAGGGTGCCCAATAATTTTACAGTAAATAAATAAAGTGTAGAGTGCACATTAATTTTACAGTAAATAAAGTGTAGGGTGCCCAATAATTTTACAGTAAATAAAGTGTAGGGCGCCCAATACTTTTACAGTAAATAAAGTGTAGGGCGCCCAATAATTTTACATTACTTAAAGTTTGGTTCAACAAGCTCACATTCAAGTATTTAAAAATGGCGTTCGTCTATTGAAACAGATCTACCTACACCCTTCATCCGTATACCTTTCATTTAAACCAATCTACATGCCATATATCACCATGATTGATTCCAAATAAATCAAATCATTGATCATGCATCGATAAACAGGTGCTTGTATCAATACACTGATCAGCGACCCCACATATTTCACCTACCCCCCCCCCCCCCCAGCAGTGTAAACAGCGGGATATCAACACTATATTAAAGCTTTGGTGTACCCGGGATAAGACATGTACACCTGATAAAACCCAGCAAAAAAAACATTCGTAAAACATACAATATTGTCAACATTTTTACAGGCGAGCTATTTCTCTGGTAAACCGCGCGGCGGTGAAAGCCTTTTAAATCATTGAATGGATTGTTTTTTTTTTTGTGTGTATTGCTTGATTTTATGTGCGTTTTTGTGTGTTTATAACGCTTCATTTCATATTGACAAAACACAGGTG